TGTATCAGTTGACTTATTAATAGTTAGAATGAGTATAGATTTATGTATGTATGTATGTGTGTGTGTAATCGAAGTATGAGAAGAATATATAAAATCAAAAAAAAAATAAATAAAAACAAAAAAAAAAGAGAGAAAGAGAAAATAAAAAATAAAAGTATAGATAGATATTGCCATTAAAAAACACCACAGCTGTAAAAATAATAGTTTGTCTTTTCTTTTTTTTTTTCAACACGTAACTGAAATACAGTGAGGATTATAAATGGCTTAAACATAGATAAAAAAAAAGAAGAAAACAAGCTTACGAAAACGAATGTGAATTATTTTAGCACTGAATTGACTCCTTTTCCCCATGAGGTCTAATTTAGACTACAACCTATAAGAATAAATAGAGCAAAGATAGAAAAGATAATTGAAATTATTGAAAAAATTTCTAATGAAATTGCCAAAAAATAATCTCGGTTTTTTTTGTTGTTGTTTTTTTATACTGATGATACAGTTGTTATTAGAAAAATGAAAAAAGTTTTATAGAATAAATCTAACATCAATAGATTATATATATATATATAATAAAATATTTTATTTTCTATCTATTTAGGTAAACAACGATATTCAACACCCTATCCATATGTTTATGTTGAATGTGTATATGGTAACTTTAATTTAGCTCTCTATCATTTAAATAAAAAATTAATTGCCACTAATTCACCCGAAGGTATTCGTGGTGGTGGTTTACTTAAATATTGTTTATTATTAATTCGTGGTTATAGACCAGCTGATATTGGTACAATATGTCAAATGGAAAAATATATGTGTTCACGTTTTTTTATTGATTATGCTGATATTCAAGAACAAGAACATAAACTTACAAGTTATTTATATTCTCATTTTAATGATGATGATCAAATTGTTTATAAATATCTTTTACAATTACGACTTATTGTTCATCGTTCAACTGTTTGTCTAATGACACATGAAAGAAAATTAACATTAGATTTAATAACGAATATAGCCACATATTATTATTATAAACTTTATACGGAAGGTCAATGGGCCTATGAACATGCTGGACCTAATCTTGTTGTACCAAATTCTGTTTCAATTGATGTTATTTATCATGATGATTATCCTCAAGAATGTACATGTCCATCATCATCAAAATGGAAATCAATTTATACACCTCAACAGACAGTCAAATTTTATGATGATTAAATAAATTATCTTATCTACATAAGTTCTGTACACTTAAAACTGAATACTTCTTTTTTCTCTCTCTATCTCTCTCTCTCTCTCACACACACACATACATACATACATAAATCTATACTCATTCTAACTATTAATAAGTCAACTGATACATCTTACTCATCAAGTGAGCTTCTTGTTTATAATAACCGGTAATCAGCATAATAACTTGTTCGTACCGGTTAGTGTACATAGGAAACTGTAAATGATATTCTAAAAAAATCTAGTCATTAGCACAGTTATTTAGCACATCCGGTTTCACTTCACTCATCATCACATCTCGTTTGTCAATGACACTAAAAATATTTAAAACAAAATAAAAAAGAACACACATTCCAATATTGTGTATATGACATTCTTTTTATTATATTTTTTTGTTTTTCTTTCTGTTTTTGTGAATAGTGTGTAGTATATTGGTGACTTATATTTTTCATTTACACATTTAATGTCGTGAATATAAAGAGTTGTGTCTGCATGTAGTATTGAAAAAAAAAATTTTTTTGTTTTTGTTTTTTTGTTTGTTGTATTGTATATATGAAAGAAGATTTTGTTTTGACGAAAAAAAAATGTTTCCATTTATGTAAAAAACCGAACTTCTTGTATATTCTATATTTTTTTTTTCGTTTATTTAAATGTACACATATTATTTTTAAAATATAAAATTAACACAAAACTTGAAATAATATTAAGATATTATGCAGATAAAACTAAACAGATAATTTCGAAACTCATAATAACACTATGCTCGATCAACGATTCACTATTGTGATAGAATTTGAACTTGAAATGACATTTTAAACATATAACTAGAAGAATTCAAATTTTTGAAATATTTTCTTTCATTTTGGGAAAATATAAAGAAAATAGCTAAAATAAAAAATAAAATTGACAATAGCACAAACTGCTTTCAAAAATAAACAACACAGTTGTCGGTATCAGCTGATATTTTATTAGTTTTATTCAGCAGTCAAATGTTACTTTTATCGGATCATTTTATTAGATATGGTGCAACACGACATTTCTCATAAACGTCCTATTTCACAAGTCATAAAATTTTTGATGAAAAATATATTCAAGAAGACACGTAGTAAAAGTCGCTCCGATATGTGATGTGACTCATTTAAAGAAAAGAATGAACTTGGTCACTTATTGAGTAACTTTTAATAGAAAATAGATAAAGAGTTGAAGTTTTGACCATTCCCAGGTCAAAAAATCAGATCAAAGATCTTACACGATCTTATAAAATCTTATAAAAATCATACAAGAATCTTACGAAATCTGATGAAATCTTACTATATGTGTTAGACATGACACACTTCAACTGCAGTTCAACAGGCCTTCGATAAGTTGAAAAACAAGGCAAAAAAAGAGCAATTTTTGCACTATACTGCGTAAAAAAGCCGGTTTTTCCTCTCTTTTTTTAAGTTTTTGACGTAGAAAATTCTCTCAGAACCTCTCATGAAACCTTGAAAAGTGGTTTTCTGTAGATTTCGCGACGTACTCTATCAATTGGACAGATCAAAAAAATTTTTTAGCGCAAATGGTTTTTCGGCTTGAAAACCAAGATCTTCAAAAACCAGGGCTGTAAAGTCAAAATTAGCCCAAACCATTATGAAATTCGGAATCAGCATGCTCGATTACCCCCGGTCACTTGAGTCTCAGCTCAAAAGTGAGGGAACACTTGGTGGCCTTCCCTCGTCAGTCCGCACTTGGACTTGCCCATCTCTGCTTACGAATTCTTATACGAGTCTTACGAAATCAGACGGAATCGTACAAGAATCTCATAAGATCTTACAGCAAGAGTCTTTGACTTGGGTTGGAACATCTTTTCAAAAGAAAAGTTAACTTTGAAATATAATTTTACCAACAAAAAATCAATATGATCATTGTTTTAGTAAGCATACGACATGATTAGCACGCATGAAAAGCTTTTCTCATATATGAGATCCTGAATTTTTGTTTCTTGTATTGGATTTGCAATGATAGTTTTATCTCATGTATACCGATCAACTCAAATCTAGGCAGTCAACAACTATCGAATGAAAAGGGTTTCGAATTACATATTGATATCTGCATCATTTCCACGTTATATTTAACGGTGCATCAAAAACATAAAATATATCGTTCTATCACTTTGTTCTAACTTATCTTAATCAACTTCTCTAACTGATCGTTGTAAAAATATGTCAAAATTTGCACATTAATTGAAAATATATCGATCGATTCTCATAGATTATTTTCTGTTTTCTATCATTCAATCCAGATGAAAAGAAATTGAATTTTAATATATCCTGTAATATTGAGTTCGTCGACAATTATTGTGATACCATCATCGGTGAACGACAAATCATACAATGTTAATTCAAATTATTCAGTCCATGCTGATGTTCGTCTAGTAAAAAATTATTCGTTTTACTACGTCTATCATTAGTCTATGTATTATTTTCACACTAATCGGTATTTTGACTATTTCGTTTTATTTCCTCAGTTTTCAACAGTAAATCGAAGTTCCTATTGGATCAATAAATTTCATAGTTTGTATTAATAAAATCATTTTTTTTATGAATAATTTAGCCCTAAATTTTCAAATTAGATCTTTATTACTTTCATAAGTACTAACAACGAAATCTATATTTTACCTTCAAACCAAGCTACGGAAGTTTCGATGACTTGTATCATCAAGAAAAGACCAAAAATGTTGACTAACTGATGACTAGTCGAATATAGTAGCTTCGTCTATTGCTTCTTAATGATCAACTGCACATGCTTAACTAGCCGATTTCGATATTAAAAATTAATAAATAATTCCGATAAGTGGTACTAATTGACTCCGACTATAATGTAGGATTCATTCAGTCGAAAATTCGACCAATGAACTAGTCAGAATGCCTACTTCGACTAGCTGTAAATTTGGATTAGGCGGTTTCCAGCTTCCTTCCAAATAGTCGCTGCTATTTGATCACGTCTATTTGCAGCACGTCTGTGATCTTCCAAGGCGTTCGTGACATCCACCGGTGCCACGGCATTATCGTATATAAACAATGGTCTACCTGAAGGTAGAAAAAGTATTGTGTTACAATCTGCAGCATTAGCTACCTGAGGATTTTTGCCCTTGACGTTAACCGTGTCAACATCCACAACTTGTCGTACTTCTACATTATGTCGGTGTGAACGTGCGGACGACGAATGATAGGAATACAAAATCACAAGAATAAAATACCGATTATCAGGATGTTGGTAAAAGATAAACAAAAGGAAGTGAACTGGAAAACATCAATTATTGGACAATGTCAGAGTATTGCAATCATATTCAGTAGTAAAAGTTGTCTCAGAATGTCTATTTATTATCTTATCGTGTTACTTGTTTGTTTCTACATAAGCGAATCAAATAGTCATCGTATAAATCGAAAAGAAAGACTACTTTTCTTTATTAAGTCTTTTTCTTATTCTTGCATTGACAAAATTGATAGCATTCTTGTGATGTTGAACATCCACCACCTTGAAGACCAATTTCACGACAACGTAAACGGCAACTATGTTTTTGGTTTGATGTGGCTATTGTTCGTCTTGTACATTTTTTTTCATTATGTAAACATTGTATTCGCCCATCAACCAGATAATCTTGCTGAATGATTATACCGAAGATGATCCATAGTGTGACGAATGGTAAGAATGAATTCATTTTATTGTATGAAATGATAAAAAGAGCTCGCACAGGAGTCGGCGTTTTACATTAATAGAACTATTCTTATTTCTTTGTATGAATATATTAAGTTTTCCATATATTCGACTTAATTTCAAGTTTCATTCTACTGTACATACCACTTTTCTTTCAATATATATTATCCTTATCGGTGTTTCTTTTAATGTTACTTTCTGTTTGTTTGTTACTTTGGACTAAGATTAAATCACCAAAATGTGTTTTTAATACATTCATATCTCAAAAACCTTATGTTTATCTTTTTATTGACCTTAACGTGAAATGTCTTCATCCTGTAGAATAATTTTAAAAAAAAGAAAAACAGAAATTTTGCATATTACTATAATTTCTTTCATGCTATAAATATGATAAACCAAAGATCTGTGTGCTACAGATTGTTTTCGTTCAAACGTTAGAATTTCTGACGCAACCGTTCAAATGAACGAGATGTTTTAACAGTTTTCAACAAAGAGTTCGAAATACATTCATATTCAGCTAAAAGACTTCTCCGGGATGCATATTATGATCATATAGTGTAGATTATAAATTTCTTCCTGTAGCTGTCGCCGAATTTGTTAAGACTTTCAAGAACTAGGTCACAGGCTGAATTTAAATGACAAAGCAAAACAGGATAAATAGTGCTGTTTTTTACATCGTAATGTAAGTGTTATGAATACATCCACTTGATTCCAAACGTTTAAATCAATTTTTTTCACATTTTCTTATAGTATTTTTCTTGCGCAATCAAGTACAATAAAAATAATTTGTCATCGGTTATCAGAAGTCCCCAAGAGAGAAAAAGAGTGATTTTACTACATAAGATGTCGATAACAACCGATGATCAGACAATATTCAAATTGAGAAACGACTTCTGTTGCTTTCAAACTGCTCTCTTCCATTCATTCTCCATCAGCGCGACAAGCTGTGACAGATCTACAGAAAAAAATTCCGCACACTTTTCTACCAAAAGTAAAATATTAGCTATAAATTAAACACAAAATCGTTGATAATTGTTTTTTGTTACGACAAACTTTTGTACTAGTTTTAAACCACATGTAGACCTGCATAACAAAAAATTCTCTTAAAGAAAAAGACACACTATTATCCTCCCGCAATCCTTCAACGTTTTATAACAGTATAGTAAAGCTAAAGCACAAAAATCTGTATTCTCAAAGAAAAGAATAACAAACATCAGCTACTCTTTCAACTACATTGATTGACAGGGTTTAAATGTTTCTACATAACTGTTAATCAAAGTATACTGTTAAGGTACATGTACCCATTTCAATCTTATAAATTAAACCCCAGTACCGTAATGGGGTTTAATTTATAAGATTGAAATGGGTAATATAGTATGTTTGTTTTTAAAGTTAGTAACGTCTTGGGTTCTTCCCCGCAGGTCCGCCCACTATTACATTCACTATTAGCCGCGAAAATTTCACTTTGCCCACCGTGTAGAGCATCAAAAATAATCTAAAGGTCTCGCTTACGCTTTTTTGAAAAAACGTGTTGAAAGTGGTTTTCTAGATCACGGTTTTCCAGAAATCCTCTTAGAAAACTGCGGTACGAAAACACAAAGAAGCCTCAGAAAACATTGAATTCTTAATGGTGAACAGGAATATAGAGTCATAATAGCTCAATATTCTTTTCATGAAGTAAGATTTTAATGGGTTTTCTGGAAAACTGAGGATGAAAAATGGAAAGTGTTGAGGATAGTTGTATGGGCAAAGTTATAGATCCTACTAAGTAGTTCCTATCCTGAAAAAATCTCGAAAAATTTTCGGAGCGTTTAGAAGAAAATCGAGGTCAAACTTCAGGAATTTTTCAAGTAAATGGAGTATCATTCGAATGTAAAGTTAGATCGAGACGAAATTCCTTCACCATTAGAATCAACTCATCAAGAGCTACAATTTGATGTATAATTTTGCGACGTTTCGTTCATTTTTACCGGCTTCGGTTCCACCCTCACCAAAAACTTGAAGTGTCTAGAAAACCACTTTCCACACGTTTTTTCAAGAAAGTGTAAGCGAGACCTTTAGATTATTTTTGATGCTCTACACGGTGGGCAAAGTGAAGCTTTCGTGGCTAATAGTGAATGTAATAGGGGGCGGACCTGTGTGGAAGCACCCATCTTACTGTGTTATGTGAGGAATAATATTTAGTATTCCTTACACTTGATTCTTTGTAATGCTTGCGGCACTCCTTCTCTCATAAATACTGTGCATTGAATTGTTTTATGTCTTACGAATTTCTTTTTACTGTATTGATATCTTTAGAAAAGGAACAATGTTTGAGAGAAGAGAAAACACCTTACATACTTAACTGTTCAAGTTGAATGTTCTGTAAATACATAGAGTTTATATGCCTTGCTATCCTTTGTAGACTAATCAAAGCATAGTAACAAAATTTTTTTTGAAACAATTAAATCTCTCTGAGACACGGCCCATATTTTTTTAACACATCATTCATAAAAGAAAAAAGAAAATAAATATCTACGCACTTCCACCGCAAAACGTCATAATTATATCAGAGAAAAAGTTTTAAAATCAAAAATGTTTTGACAAATCAGACGGAAAAAGTAATCTGTCAAAAAAATTGTTTATTAACGACATCTGGGTAATTGCCATGGTGTCGCTAGACAAGGATTGCATCCAATTTCAAGCTGTTGTTAACGAAACGTTAAACTTTTCTTTAGTGAATGTTCGTAGCGCGAGCGTAGCACAAGATAAATTTTTCCAAAAAGATATTCAAAATTGAGGTTTGCATCACAGTTTTATTGGTTTGCATATAAGAGGCTAATCATACACTTCCTTAACCGCAAATATATTTTTTTCTTCTGCATTGATTACTTACCTGTATGATTTTAACACAAAAATGTGCGGTTTTAAGAATTGTTTTTAGTGTGTTCTGTCCGTTTCACACTCTCCCGAAATGCTAAAACCACGTTTTGCTATTTATTGCAAGATTTTGCTTCGTTCTTAAAGCGTCGTCATCGCGTTTTGAACAGTGGCAGTTGAAATGAAGTTGAGAAACAGTTTAGTAGTTAATGGAAATCAACTAGCAGGGTGATCAGCTGTCCCTTCTTTCGTCACGTGATCTTTAATAATAATGGCTAAAGCCAAGTAGTAGAAAGATTAACGAAAAAAGACACGAAAATTACCATGATGAACAGAAACAAGTAAACAAAGTAAAAACAGAATGAAAGAAATGATAAGAGAAGAAAAAAAGAACAAAAGTAAGTAAATAAATAAATAAATATTATGTGCAACAGATGGGTATAGACATGACTGAAATTTACTATAGAGAATATTAAGACGAAGCAATTTTTAAAGACAGTCATGAAGAAGAACATATTAACGATTCTGGAAGTTTCAGCCTGTCATAATAGAATAAAAATTACATAACAAGAGAAGAAATACGAACATAGACGTAATGAAGAATAATCTAATGAATAAACTGGATAAAAGATAGAGAGAGGACTTAGACAATGATAAGTATTTACGATAATCACAGAGATTGAAAGAGACTTTAAACTTTTCACCGATGATGCCTCAAAAGAAGATGCTAAATAAGAGTTTTTCACGAAAAAAGTTGAAAAGTTCCCAAAATCAGCACTTAGACAACTTTAGTAATCCGATTTTTTTTACCTGATCTTATCCGAATCAAAACTATGATTTCTATTTTGATTACTGTAGAGTTGTAGAGTAGAGAATTATGTTTAGTAAAAATTTAAACTTTATATAAATTTGTTTTAGATTAATATGAGTGATTGAGAAGTCAGAACATAAAATGAAGAAACGTGAATGTGTAGTTGGAAATGTATCTCGTTTCGAATTAACAGATGCATTTTTAACCGAATTATTATCATCAAATGGAAATTGTAAATCAAAATTAGATTTTTGTGATTCACAATTGTATGATCGTTTATGTTCAAAATTATTGTTAACAACACCATATGAAAAACAATATTTGGGAAGAATATGGAAATTAGATCATGATAAAATACAATCAGATGTAATGGAACAATTTTATAAACAGATGTTAAATAAATACGTGAAGTAAGTAAAATATTTGTTTATATAAATAATGGAGGACTGTGATCTTCTAGAATGAAGGATAGATTACCACGTACTTCTAGATTTTATAGACTATTGTACATTGACAATACAAAGAAACTTTTATAAAAAATTTTTAGAGTCGATGTTGTTCCAAGTCCTGAACAGAAGTTACATCAGTCAAAACCAAACGACATTGAAAAGGTAATGTTTATTAAAAACAAATATTATTTGTTTACTGCACATGAAAAAGAGCAACGGTGGTATCTACCTTCTTAAACGTCCAAGGTAAAATACACTGCTTATTATACCTTCAAAAAAATAACATGTCATTTATCCCTTTCAGGACCGGTTTAATTTTTATATCTACAGTGCTATTGAAAAGTTTAAGACCTCTTTTATTTTGCAATATCTCGGCTTCCCTGACAGATAGAGACTTCATCCTTTCGTCAAAAGAAAGCTAT